ATTTCTTTATATCCGAAAAATATCATATTATCCTGGAGTTATTTTTGCTCTTCCTGTTGTTCTCGTTCTCTCTCATTCTTCTTCTGTTCTCTTTCCCTCGTTTTTTTAACCCTTCTATGAGCCCAAATGACCAGAAAAAAGGTAACACGAATAAACTCAAATATCTGAAACAATTAACATTGGACATGATACAGGTTGGAATATTGTACAAAATATGAGATATAAAAAACTGTTTGATACTCAAGTCAACATGGCTGATAAAGTGGTGGCCGTCGGTCACAACCACAAGCTGGATGTGACAACCCAAGTTGATCGAAATTGATTTTTTTTTAGTAAGATGTGGAAGAAAATTATAATTATGATAATAGAAATGGCAATGTGTTTATGAGTGTGTCTTAGACTGCTCACTGGTGGCGTGTGTGTTGGGTGTTACACGTTAAGAATCGTGAACCCCAAACACATCTCATCAGAGAGGAACTTAACTTTGTGGTAACAACCCAACACACACTGGCCCATACCACTCCTCTATGGTATGACAACACAAGTGTCATCATACCATATTTGGTGACAGGGAGGGACACACACAAGGTGCCCTGTTATCACAGCCAAACGTCGCTCACCAACACAGGTGAGGCACGAGTCTCTCTCTGCCGTCCACTAGTCATAATCTTTTATAATTTGGTGATGATATTTATACACGATGAAGGTCATGAGTCATTCATTGTTACTGAGACTTTAGTGTCCATTCATTCCTTCACTCTCACATACACTTAATACTTCTACACTTATATTTTCATGGCATATAATGAAAAAAATTCTCTATAAATCAATTTGGTCTGTGTAACCTTGTATGTATGATTATATTATTGTTTGTGTATACTGTAGTTTTTATTAAGACTTCTATGTATAACGAGTAAAAGTGACTTGGGAAGTGTATAGAAGTAACCACATCTCACAAAGACACAGAAGCTTCCAGGTTACTGCAGTAACTAGACGACAGAAGGCGAGTGTAAAAGTGTCCACCAATCAGCTGCATCGTTACAAGACTAGTACCCATTCATTCATAAATACAGTAGTGCGACGGTGCCACATGTAATGTACGTAAACGTGATCACAGAGGGTAAAGGAACTCTTTGAGGCATCTGCACCTCTGGAATGAGAAACCTACACCTGGAGGTCGAGGCTTCATGCTTGGAGGGAGAGACACATTAACACAGATGTAGTCACAGGTGTTGATGTAGTAATGAGTCACTGCATCTCAACACCCGAGGTCTTTGAGCTCTTACTGTGCCTTACAGCATACATAAGGCGTCAACAGATGAAAATATAAGAATATAATATCGCTCTTAGTCATCTTTGAGTGGCACATCGTCTCAGGTGATGCAGCAGTCAAGGACTACGCATATCTTGTTCTACAGTGATAAGAGTCTTATACTCATTTCCTTTCTAGCAAGACTGGTGAGATACTCTGACTTGGATCTCCTGAATATTAGGCGCACTAGATTATTTCACTTGATGAGTAAACATCCTGAAGCTGCCGGAGGAAGGGAGTTAGGTTAGACTAGGTAAAAACAGGTGAGGATAGAATAGGTTAGAGTATATTAGGCTATGTTATGTTATTTTAGGTTGTGTTAGGTTAGGTTAGTTTTTTGAGGTTGATTAACATGTGGGTGTTTAATCGTAAGGTGAAATAACCTGGGGTGCCTAATCTTCAGGTGATCCTTGATATCTCTACATTTGATTTGAAACAGAAGTACAGAGGAAAGATATAACGGGTAACTTGGATGTTAAACTTCCTCAGCTAAAATGTAACACTAAATGGGTCAACAATTAATAGAGTACAGTATTCATCCCACCAAATATATTTTCTTCCTCCTGAATGCAAAACACTATTAAGGTAACGTATCACATGACATAATATAATGACCAAAAAAAACGGAAAGTGGAGTTCCGCCTTGAGTGTCGTGGTCTTGGCCCCTCCCCCCTCCCGGTGTTTACATTTACCCCAGTAAGAAACGCGGCCACAACACCTTTAACTATAAGCGTAAACTCAAACCCAGAGTTCCCCTTAAGTCGTGTAGGATCACCCGCTCACTGTTCAATATCACATGAATATTTTTATGTTAAGACGAGGCTGCTGGGATGACTTTGCGTTGAGGTTCCTTTTATAGCTGATCTCAGGGCGCGAGCTGAGATGAGAAGGTTTTTCAGGTTAGAGATGTCTGGCATGTCTCTCAGATGTTTTCAGAGTGCTGGGAGTTTTGCTGAGAGGAGTATATACAGTATACATATGTACCCCAGGCCCAAATGGTTGTCTTAGCACCTCTCTAGCTGGTGTGGTGTGAGAGAGAGAGAGAGAGAGAGAGAGAGAGAGAGAGAGAGAGAGAGAGAGAGAGAGAGAGAGAGAGAATGCATGTACCGTACACCAAACCCAAAATGTTGTTAACGTGTCTCAGATGATCTCAGAGAAGGATAGGAGCTTGGCAGGTTAGGTTAGGTTAGATTTGGTTAAGTTAGGTTAGATTAGGTTAGGTTAGGGTAGGTTAGATTAGGTTAGGTTAGGTTTGGTTAAGTTAGGCGAATTTAGGTTAGTTTAGGTTAATCACCAGACTCAGAGTGCTTTCACGAAAATCATCTGACTCTAGTAAAAATAAAAACACCCAGGAAGACGAACACACGGACGAAACGGCAAAAGAACAGCATAAAAACACAACCCAAATTTCAATTGGAAAAATATACAACAGAAACAAGAGGAGAAAAGAGAGGGGGGGGAGCCACACTCCCAGTTACACAGAGACGCTCGCTCACACCGTTGTAAAGGTAAAACATTGGTATTGTTGTGGGTGAAGTTTTCTGCCACCTAGAGTGAAACACAGTGAGGCACTTTACAAGTCGTCGCTCTTGTGGTTCTCACTCCCCCCTTAAAAAATTTCAAGCCAGGTCCCACAGCACCGAGGAGAACTTTTATGTTTTTTTTTCTTTTGGTGGAAATACCTGGATGCGTGAGGTAGAGACATGCAACACAATTACCTGTATAGCCACCACTACCAGTTGGTCAATGATTCAGTACTGTGTTGTGAACCAGAGTTAAATTATCCAAAGGGAAAAAGTTGACAGTTGATTGAGGTTTTACACGACGTGGAGGCGACTATATAGGTCTTCAAGGTCTTGTTCACCTCTCAGGCTTGTGTGTGGGTGGAGTCGATTGAATTCTTTTGTAAGTGATGGGCGTGTGTAGTATCTGGCTGTCTGTGTGTGTATATAAAATTGACTCTTCCTCCTGTTTGTTGATTGCTTATGATTCTCTCACCTAAAAGAAAAAATATATAAAGGATATTGATTCTCCTATGGCTGGTGACCCAATATAAGGAGACACCTGTATATTGAGTGAGGAATATGGCGATGCTTCATAGTCTTTAAGTAATGGTAATATTTTGTTCAATAGCAACACGTCAACCAGGTAAGGGATAAGAACAGTTGTGTGAGCTGTACCCACACCCAGAACCCTCAGGGACTTGTGAACGTGTGAGGTTGTGGCCGCATAAAGGTTCCCATCTCTGTCACCTAAAGCATGTAAGTCTCCTAAGTTGTTTACTGTAGCGACTGATCTTGTGGTCTCTGATTAAGGACCTGAGTTTTGTTGATGGACGCTGTATATCATATAAAAACAGTGATATTTGTTTCCCCCCGTTTAAAAACATTGATACTTAAGAGAAAACAACTAATATAGGTAATAATACTGAGTGGTGTTTGTGGTTCATCTTCCACAACAATTTATTCTGGGATCAAACTCATTCCTTTAATCGTCCTAAAATAGTTGATACCGTCCACTTCTCTGGCAGGAATACTTGAATGGCATTTGTAGAATATCTCACATATTTCTCTGTCATGTACACACTAATATGTAAATAAACATGTTTTAACTTATAATTGTAATAAATTATTTATTTTGAAAGAGCTATGACAACCTAAGCTAACCAAACCTTGGGAATGGAGGCCACGTTTTTATTCAACCTCGTATCATAATGGACTAAAAAGGAACCACTAAGAGCCATGCTGGCCTAGAGCGAGTTGACGAGTGCCCCCTCACATTCTGAACGGGTACAATATTTTAGGTATTAAATTATGTAATATCTCAAATTTAAGCACACACACACACACACACACACACACACAGCAAAAAATGGAGAATATAAAAACTCAGAAAGACTCTCTGAATGACTGGAGTGTTTCAGTTATAGAATACTGAGCGAGGCGTCGTGAGCAGTGATGGCAGAGGTGTGTGAGTGTGTCAGGGTGTGTCAGGATGATGGCAGAGGTGTGTGAGGTGTGGGGTGCGTCAGGATGATTGCAGAGGTGTGTGAGTATGTCAGGGTGCGTCAGGATGATGGCAGAGGTGTGTGAGTGTGTCAGGGTGTGTCAGGATGATGCAGAGGTGTGTGAGTGTGTCAGGGTGCGTCAGGATGATGGCAGGGGTGTGTGGTGTGTCAGGGTGTGTCAGGATGATGGCAGAGGGTGTGTAGTGTGTGTGTCAGGGTGTGTCAGGATGATGGCAGAGGTGTGTGTGTGTGTCGGGGGGTGTGTCAGGATGATGGCAGAGGGTGTGTGGGAGTGTGTCAGGGTGTGTCAGGATGATGGCAGAGGTGTGTGTGTGTGTGCAGGGTGTGTCAGGATGATGGCAGAGGTGTGTGTGAGTGTGTCAGGGTGTGTCAGGATGATGGCAGAGGGTGTGTGTGTGTGTGTGTCAGGGTGTGTCAGGATGATGGCAGAGGTGTGTGAGTGTGTGTGTCGGGGTGTGTTAAAGTGTGTAAATGAGTTTCGGTGTGTGTGTCAGCGTGATGGCTAAAGTATTAGAGTATGCCCGGGTGTGTTAAAGTGTGTCACTGTATGTCAGAGTGTATCACAGATTGTCAGTGTGAGTCAGGGTGATTTCTGAGTATGTTAGAAGTGTTAGTGCATAAAAAAATGTGTTAAGAGTGAGTCAAGAGAATGCTTAAGTGTGTTAAATGTGTGAGTGTGTATTAGAGTGTGACAGTGTGTGTGTGTGTCAGAGTGCTTTAAGTGTGTACTTGTGTGTGAAAAAGTATAAGTCTGTCAGAGTGTGTGAGTGTGTCTAAATGTGTCAGTGGGTATCCGAGTGTGTCAGACCGAGTTAAGAGCAAAAAGGAATCTCGCGCAGCCGGCAAAAAATAAATCCAGACTGAATGTAAAACTGAGGGAGAGAGAGTACAAGGTTATGTAAATACTCCACTCACGATATTGCTTTCCACTATGACCCTCCACAATGACCCCACCACCATGACTCCTCCCACAGCCACCCCA